GCAGCGTGAGCAAAGGCTTTTGCTTAGGTTTTAGGCGAGCTTTGAGCCTGAGCTCTTTTAGGATGGGGTCTAGCATGCTCCTGAAATACTTTCAGAGTTAATTTTGTGTGGAGCTGTTTATGGTGGTCCAGACACCAGTATGACTGGCTGTTCTCAAAACAGGGTGAAATAACATTTTCAGGACTCATTTCAGATTGCAGCTGGAATTTGTAAATTTTGGGCACCTTCCCCACAAATGGGCCTTGAGATGTTAAGTAGTAATGGGGGAGGTCTCAGAACTGCCGGGGCTTTCTGCAAACCAGGGTTAGTTTTAGTGTTATGGAAGCAACCAATATGATACTGTAGAGAACAGATTTTTTTTACCAGTCCTAGTGTACTAAAAAAAACAACTCTTAAAACTACTGCTTTTCTTCTCACTTCTTTGCTGTATATAAGGACTATATAAAGTTATAAAACAGCATCGCTGAGTGACATAAATATCCTGGAGCATCGGGCCAGTTCCAGATAGCACGGTGCAACTGCCCAAAGAGGGTGTAGCTATGCCATGGACTCTTTGGACAACATGAGCTTATGGTGACATAGAACCGTATCAGACAGACATTTGATGGAGAGTCACCAGACCTGGAAGGGGGGGTTTAGGTCACCTTCCTGAGACATGTCCTCCATCCCTACAATCAACAGAGATGCAGACCCCAAGCATGGCACCTGCCTCCTTGTTTGTACTTTACGTTAGTAAATTCAATGTGCCTGACGCTCAAATGTGATCAACCAGGCTGTGAAGTTGCTAGCACACCCCTGTCTATGTTTTTGGTCCAAGGTAACTAGTACATTTCCAAGCAATTTTTGGGCTGGGTTCTGAAGCTGGTATATACGAAGGGCGCTTCCCAACAGTCTGTTTTCCCTCACTCATCTGTGATGGAGAGATTTAGGAATTTGTACTTTCGTGCGAATTAACCATGGTAAGTTGAGTTTCTGGGCACTGATGCAATCAGCACAGAATAGCCTGTGTCTATTCTAGTAACACTTTTTTTACAGTTTATGTGTTGTCTGATATATCAAAAATAGGCACTGAGATCAGCTTTCTGCACCAGGCATAGCTGTAGTAAATGTTCTGAATTTCTCTCCTCCTTCCACTGCCTCTGCAAGCTCTGTATAGCAGATAGGCAGTACTGGGCACACTGGGTGCTTGAATATGGTCGCAGCAGGGAGTAGCTGTTCCATCCCAGGAATGGTAGGACTCCATAAAATATGGCCCATGCTCTCTGTCATGCTTGTAGGAACTGGCTCTAGTGTAGTAGCTGGTGATATGAAATCATGCACATTTGCCTGAAAAGGATTTAGAATAGAATCATAGAGTCATAGAATGGTTTGGGTTGGAAGGAACCTTTAAAAGGTCAACTAGTCCAACCCCCCTGCCATGAGCAGGGACATCTTCAACTAGAGCAGGTTGCTCAGAGCCCCATCCAACCTGACTTTGAATGCTTCCATAGATGGGGCATCTACCACCTCTCTGGGCAACCTGTTATTTATAGATGTGCGCTGAATCTGTGTGACCTGCCTGGTATTTACAACTTCTTTGTCAACACTGTAAAATATTTCAAGACCAATAGCCTTCTATCCTCCACTTCCAGAGAAGATGGTTGCTGAGCTATTTCAGAGCTGGTGGACATAGTGCATCAGCATGCATCCACCTCCAAACGGCTATTGGTCTATGCTCTGCCTGCAAAGCCAGGCTCATCTTGGGAGATGCAGTGTAGTCAAGGGTCCTGTCACCAAGTACAGCGACGCTGAGTGCTCACAGAATTGCTACATCTGCATTAAGACCAGCAAAGCAAGGATGGAGGAGAACAGAGGAATTCATTATCGTTTTTAACAGTCAGATGAGATCGGTTGTTGTATTAACAGCCCAGCTCTATTGCATGACCTCTTGCTTTAGCGTTTCAGCAACCAGCCCATGGGATTGCAGAAATGCATTCCCTGCCAGCCCGCAGGTAGCACGTGGCTTTTCTCTCCCTTTTCCCCACCTCACGTGTCTGCCTTTCCTACAGAGATCACAGGCTTTTCAGGGAGTAGCCCATCTCTTTCTGCATGTTCGCATAATGCAGTGCATAATGCGGTTGCCAAGCACTATGGTAACAAATACTATCACGCTGCTTCAAAACTTACCTCCATATAAACCAGCATTTTATGAGCAGCAGAATAAATAAATCCTGGTTCGTATTCCATCTGTAAAGTCCAGCCCCTACGTGTACGATACTACATCCTCCATTCTCTGGTTCTGTACATGCAAGCTGTGCTTAGTTTTGCTGATTGACCTCGTGGTCCACGTGGGCTGGTTGGCCAGCTGGCCTTAGAATGAGTGAGAAAATTAATTTTACCTGGCTTTCCCTCAACTGAAGAGCACTGTTTGGATGTTTCTCCTGTGCCCACTTGCTGATTTTGAGGAAAGGTGTTGGGATTTTCACGTCTGAGATTTCTACCTCTGCCACAAATACAATAAAAAATAGCTAACGGGTTCAGAAGTTGCTAGGAAGGAATCTGAGTGACACATGGACATGGGCAGAGAAAATTAGCGCATGATTTTATTTCCTTTGGGAAGCAGTTGAAAATATAGTCTACTTTGGAACAAAAGTGGATCCTAGGAAGAAGCCTCTTACCTTCTGAGGAGCTTGGGTTGAACTTTGAGTTTGTCAATGAAGTATTCACATCTTTGATCCAGTTCTTTAAAGATGTTTCCTCTTCCTTTCTCTCAGCTCTTCATGCAGAAGGCATATTTTAACAATGGACTGCAGAGAAATATCTGTGGACAAATGGGTGGCGTTCAGTGAACAGGAACCAAGGTGACACAGATGAGCCTATTCATGTATTGCTTGTTCAGTTACAACAGTTTCATGAAGAACAGCATCCTTCAAACAGGCAGTACCCCTGGTCTTTCGGCAGCATTATCCAAGCCCAAGAAGGGCTGAATAATAAAAGAGAGGAAGGGAAATAAAGAAATACAGGGAAGAGAAAAGGTAGGTGTAGGTGGAGTCAACAATAAGAAAGGATGGAGAGCTGGCGGTGGGATTTGTCTCACAGATTAAGATACCTACATTGAGGGGTGTATGTGTGAGTGTCTTCACTTGTGCTAGATGTCTGTATTCCTGTCAGTGGGGATCTAGACAGTCAGCAGGCCAAAGAGGCATTCAGCTCATCCTAAAGCAGTCACCTGCTTTAGGCATAGGGAGGGGCTGTCCAACCTCCATTGACTGTGTTGGCCAGTCCGCATTGACTACCACAAGGAGTACCACAGTCACCCTGCAGATGTGGTGAGACCTTAACGTATGTGTCTTAGGAGGAGAAACCCACCCCGAAGACTATCGCAACCAGCAGTTACCTTGGAAGAGAGGGTTTTTTTCCATCTTTGCAGTGGGATTAGGTGAATGGGAAACATGGTACTGGGTGGGCAGGGAGCTTCACTGATCATGCACGTGAAGGGATCATTTAGTACTGTTCCCTGAGGACCACAGATTGAGTTCTGCAGCCTAGCCTCCCTGCCAAGGAAGTGTGTGTGCGTGTCCATACTGAAGCTTTCCTGAGCCTCTGACCTCAGTCCGACTGCTTATCTTCATAAAAGTAAAAACTGAGTATTTCCATGACCATTTGTCAAATTTGGTTGAAGCTGATTAAGATGTTCAAAGCTATTACAGGAAGGGATTTGACTGGCAGATACATAGTACCTCACACAGGGCTTATTTCCCCAATAAACCAGGCTGAAAACAAGTAACGCAGCCCAAAGGTGGTTGAAGGGAACAGAGTCTGCAACTTAGAGGTCCCATTGCCTCAGAGGTCCTGAAATTTAATTCAAGGGCTTTGATTTCCATGGAAAATTCACTCCTTTGCAGAGGGCTTGTACCACCACCATTAGGATAGCTCCTGGCTTGCATTGGAGTCTTAAGGGTCTAAACAGTCCCTGGGACTATGTCTGAGCACAACCCATTTAAGGTTGTGGTTTCTCCATTTTGGAGATGGGGTTTCTTGGGGTTTCTCCATCCCCATTCTCAGATGAATGGCAATTTTTAGAGAGAAAATAAAATGGTTTGTGTCAAAACTGGAAAGATATTGTTGTTCTGTTGGGAAGAACTACAAAATGCAAGAGAAGTAGTCTGTGAATGGGAACCAGAGTGTGTCCAGCAGATGCTGAAAATCTTTGAAATGTTTTTGGGTTTTTTTTCTCCAAAAAGTTGCAGCTCTGTCCAAAAAAAATGAAAGCTGGTGTTATTTTTTTCACTAACTTGCGAATTCACCATCAGCTAATAAAGAGAAGCCATAGCTCACAATACCTGATAAACTGTGCATTTGTTACTCTGCTGGAGTTTATATCTAAGACAATTTTATCTTAAACTATTCCTTTATGGAATTAACAAAACTGTTGTGCATAATTTGGTGCAATATAGGTGAAATGATATAACTCATTACTTATCAGGCTGGGTGAGCGATGTTTGTAGTGGTATCTTGTCCCGTTACACTTCTGAATCACCCAGCTCGCTTGCCTGCAGGGAAGTTTGCTGAGAGATGTGTGTATTCGGTGTTGAGTTGCAGAACATGAATTTTGATGTTCCTTTCTATTCCTTTCCACCCTAATTGCAAGAGTCAGGAACTGCTTGCAGGTAGCTTCAGTGCAGAGGTGCAGCTGTAGAGACAAAAAAGCATCTATATTTTCAAAAAAAGCATTGCATTCACATCTGAGGCCAGCTTTTCAGAGGGCACCCGACCACTGTCACACAAGTAGCAGGCTGTCTGGTGCCCAGAACTTTCTGATTTTAATAGACCAAATTTCATTTGAACTTCTTTTAATGTGTCAAAAATGAGATGTTGGGAGCCAGTTTCTCTGTAAACTGATGGAGGCAAAAGCCCTTCCAGGTAGATCTTGTTGACCAGTGGGGTATTTTATTCCCACATTATCACTACTCTCCTGCTGGTTTAGTTCCTGAACCCTTTTCTCTTTTTTTGATCTTCAGAAACGAGTTCAGACCCTGGGTAGACATCAAGCCTGTGAAAGCTATAAAAGCAAAGGCCCAGTACAAGCCACCAGAGGAGAAAATGACCCACGAAACTAGTTACAGTGCTCAATTCAAGGGGGAAACCAGTAAGCCTGCTCCAGCCGATAACAAATTCCTGGAGCGCAGAAGGATACGCACTCTCTACAGCGAACCCTACAAAGAACCACCAAAGGTGAGAAACGCAGCAGAAGGGACCTGGGGCTATCACTGCTCCTGGTGGGACGTGTTCAACACAGTAAGGCTGGGCTGAACACTGCCGGCTGTCATTCCCTGTATATGCCATCTTCGTTTCCAACCAGCGGGTGGGATCCACCTTGGAGATGATGGTGGGTGAAAAGCTGGACAGGAGCCAGCAATGTGCGCTCGCAGCCCAGAAGCCAACCGTGTCCTGGGCTGCCCCCAAAGCCGCGTGGCCAGCAGGGCGAGGGAGGGGGTTCTGCCCCTCTGCCCCGCTCGGGGGAGACCCCCCTGCAGTGTTGCGTCCAGCTCTGGAGCCCTCGGCACAGGAGAGACACGGACCTGCTGGAGCAGGGCCAGAGGAGGCCCCAGCAACGCTCCGAGGGCTGGAACAGCTCTGCTGGGAGGACAGGCTGGGAGAGCTGGGGGGGCTCAGCCCGGAGAAGAGAAGGCACCGGGGAGATCTTATTGCAGCCTGCCAGTACTTAAAGGGGGCCTACAGGAAAGATGGGGAGGGACTCTTTATCAGGGAGTGTTGTGGTAGGACAAGGGGTAATGGTTTTAAACTGAAAGAAGATGGATTTAGATGAGATATTAGGAAGAAATTCTTTCCTGTGAGTGTGGTGAGACACTGGAACAGGTTTCCCAGAGAAGCTGTGGATGCCCCACCATGGGAAGTGTTCAAGGTGAGGCTGGATGGGGCTCTGAGCAACCTGATCTGATTGAAGGTGCCCCTGCTTATGGCAGGGGGTTGGACTAGATGATCTTTAAAGGTCCCTTCCAACCCAAACCATGCTGTGATTCTACAGGCAGATTGATGCACTTTGGAGACAATAGTGCCCTACGTCAAACCGTAAAGTGAGTGTAGGGCCCAGATGAAGCACTTTTTTGCATTGTCATTTCCCAGGTCATTATCTGGATAGCTTTCTCTTTCTCCCTTCAAAGCTATAGACACCCCACATCAACCTTTATCCCCGGAACAACAGGGTAAGAGCCAGATCTTCATCTGGAATTAATTCAGAGTGCTCCACAGATTTTGACAGAAAACACTTTTGGCTTTCATCAGATGGAGGACATGTGTCAAAAAGGGCCTGGGCTGAAATCTCTTCCAGCCTTGTTTTCTAGGAGCATCAGAGGATCTGCATGTAGACGTAGTCAGTCTGTGCAGTTTTAGTCTTTCACAGAGTCTGTAACTGCTTCGATTTGTGAGGTCTCAGAGGGATGGCAGGGCCAGTGTGGAGGAGCTGAAGGCTTCTCTTGCTCCTTAATTTTGAAGCTGTCCTCCCTACTTTGGGGGCTGTAGAAACATGTGGTTTCAAGACACTGTTGTGGACTTTGCTCAGGTACCAGTCAGTGTCCTGCACCCCAGCTGCCCCAAGTAATTTTTCTCCATTGTAGCATTAGGGACAAAGAGACTGAGGAGTCATGTCCTGCAAGAAAGGTGGGGATTTGTACCAGCCTCATTGTCCCAAGCACCATTTCTCTGCTTTGACTCCAGAGAGAGACAATCCCCTCTGGGCTTGCAAAGCCCCTCTTGAAGTCAGAGGGCAGGGCATAGCTGAGAAGTAACATTCGTGCTGTTTCTGATCTAAATTCTGTTTTCTATCTGTCCTTGTGTCTCTCTCTTTCTCTCGCTCCATCTCTGTGTTGTCGTTTTGCGTGTCGCCCTCCATGCAGGTGGAAAAGCCTAGCGTAAAGCCTTCCAAACCAAAAAAGACCACAACAAGCCATAAACCCCTGAAAAAGGCCAAAGACAAGCAGATTGCATCTGGTCGGGCTGCCAAGAAAAAGAGCGCTGAGACCTCCAACACAGCAAAGCCAGAGGACAAGGAGAAAAGTAAAGAGATGAACAATAAACTGGCTGAGGCAAAAGAGTAAATGTCACTGCACTTTCCTTTCTTTCTTGTTTTTTTCCCTTTTCTTTCTTTCCTTTTTTTCCCTTTTTTTCTTTGATTAAACAAAGGCCACAAAATTAATTAGAGGCTTCTAATCTGCTTTTTGTTCTGATTGTATTAGAAGCTCTTCTGTTTTATTTCCAAGGAGGATTAGGGAATCCTTGTTTATGAGGTCAGGTTGTTCTGCTTTGCCTGCACAACACGGCTCTGCACAGAGTGAGGGACGTGGGAATGCACAAGCAGGGTCGCAGGAGACAAAGGTAATGGATCAACCATTGGATGCATCCAGCAGCCTGTCCCTTTACTCAAGCTTAGTCCTTCAATGCTTTGATGGTGTAGAAGTGCCTCTTGATCCACGGAAGGGCTGTGCTCTCATCCCATGAGACCCTTTTGGGGTTGGCCATTGTTTGGTCATCTCCCATTGGTGTCAACAGGTGAAAGATTTTGGAGTCAGAGAGGATCAGAGGTTCATTCATGGTGCTGTGGATCTGCCGTAAATCTTCTAGAATCAGTGGTGTGGCCAAGAGAAATTTCCCCTGATGACACTGGTGGGACTTTTGCTCCAAGAAGCAACGGGAAAGGAGATCCCGTGCAAACAAAGGGCCAAATGCCCCCCAGGGTAGCTGGGGGGGGCGGGGGGTGGGGTAGGTCTAGCTGCATCAAGGCAGCTTCACCCATTAACACCACTTGAAGTCCTTGATTTTTTACGAAAAAGGAGTAAGGGAAGGCGCAGAAAGCAGTGAAGACTTCTCAAGCATGTGGCAGGTCAGACTAGGCTATTGGCAGGCTGTTCTTCCCTATTGTTTCCCCTAGTTTAGGGATCCTTTTTGTTATTCCTCATTTGTTTTGAATCTTGGTCTGCTTTCTTCACTTCTGGGGTGTCAGTAGACAGAGCTAGATTTCAGAAAGAGATTTAGTTTGCAGACATGACCTTCCAAGGGGTAGAAAGAAATGAGTCACCAAGGTTGGCTAGAGCTGTCAGCCCCCATTGTTTTGACTCTACCAGCTGTTGGAGTTCATGTTGGCTCATAAGCATCCTAAGAGGGCCATAAACCACTTGCTGGGATCCCTAGACTCCCTCCAGGCAAGATCTCAGGGTTTCGATCCTATTTACTGTGCTCTTACTCTAGGAAATCCCTATGCCCAGCAAGACCAGTTTGGAATCTGTAAACACAGCGGGACCATTTGTCAGTGAGCATGAACTGACCCAACAGACTGTCATTGCATACCCCAAAATTTGGGTTGCTGTGTCAATGAGAGCCAGGAGAGGTATGGTCCCAATCCAAATTTATGTGCCTAACTCCTGGATTGGGTCCTAAATATGTAAGGATTAATCTTGATCCCACTAGACTGAGCTGTCGAACTCTCCTGTAACAGAGTAGCTGCAAGTCAAGATACAGGGTTCTTCTTTATATTTGCAGCTCAATATTTCTATCCTAACGTTCAGTCCACCTTGAAACTTTCAGAGAACAGACAATTGGGAAGAACAAAGAGTGAGATGGGAAGTAGGGTAGGGAGGTGGTGTAAGAGGAGGCTATCAGAACTGTATTGCTGTAGAGGTGTTTGAATGAGAAAAGTCTTGCTACTAGGATATTTTAGAGGTGTGAAACTATCTGACAGAAAAAGGGCTGGGAGAGTGAGGAGTCCCATTTCTGGGGTTTCACCACGTTAGAATTGGGTCTTTTGGAAAGAAAAATGAGTGGTGGGCTACAAGGCTGAGAGGAAGTTTCCAAAGAGGAGGGAAGCTCTGTGGTATACAGATAGTGACATTTGCTGGCCTTAGTAATGAATAAATGCCAAGTTCAGTGTATTGTGTGATGTGTCCTGTTTGCCTTGCGCTAACAGCCTAAAGCTTTGAGTATAAGTAAGTGTAGTGTTCTGAATTCAGTGGTGTATTTCCAGGCTTAGCTGTGTTAGAACTGTGTGCTATGAGCTAGTCAGGTTGTGTATGTGGAAAATACATATTCATATATAGACATATATATATATTTAAACCTCCGATATTTAGGAGGAAACCAGGGAAATCCTCCAGGAAGTAAAACTGTGGAAATCTTTGCAAATGTAGTACATTTTTTGATGTGCATGCTCCATGGAGACGCTGACCTGTCCATATTGACCATTGCTTTTCTGAGTGCTCAGAAGCCCTTGCAGCACTGTTCGAGTGCAAAGCTCAGCTCTGTCTCCAGAGCAGCTCAGCGAAAGGCTTGTGTTGAGCTGGTGGAGAGGAGTGCTGCTCACAGCTCTTCCCACGCTGTCACACAAGGGACAACTGGCCAGAGAAGCCTGAGCTTCCAAGACTTGGTGTGATTCCTTGGCATTTAGATGCTTCATCCATCTTCACACTCCTCAATAATGTCCTTTCCTATCGCAGGATGTAGCAACAGCCGTGAAGATGACGTGTCACAGCAGGCAGAACATGTCAGGAAGGCACGTAGGCAGTTACCAATAGCCCAACACACCAATCTCATTGTACATAAGGAAAGATTATGCCAAACGATTCTCCCAATTATTTTTTGGCCCGAAGCTTCACATTCAAAGAGACAGCACACTTGCCACCATTTCAAACTTGAATTCAGTGGGAATTTAGCCCTTAACTTCAAGGGTAACCAAATTTTGCGTAAGGAACATCATTAAGATGCTCAGACCACCTAATCCAAGCATCCCCGTGACTGTGGATCAACCACTCATCGTCTAGGGCTTCAGGGTTGCCTCTTCTCGATGAAGAGCATCCATCACGGTGTTTGAATGAAACATGCACAGTGAGTGGTCAGAATATGGCCTTATGTTTCCTTAATACATGAAGCTTTTGGTGGCATCTAACTACAAAGCTAGGTATGAAGTGCTAGACAATGGTCTAAATTCCCTCTCTAGTGAAGGAACTTTCCAAGGGCTATTGAACTATTTTGGACACCTCTCTTTGGGTGGGATGAATGGTCCTTGGAAGGTTTCAGTCTTTGCAGAAAGAGCCTGGAAGACCAGTAGAGCCTGGGGACCTCCCTCCCAGACAGCAACAAAATAGGGATATAAATCCTGGCCTTTGCTCCATGTGCACCAGGTCCTCAGCATACATCCAAGCACAGTTTAGCATTGCACTGAATGCCAGGAACTGCAGCAGAGTCAAGCCTCAGGGTGAAATCCTCCACTGCTCTCCCTTCCACAGACTTTATGCTCATCCGACCCACTCAGGTTTATCAGAAAGGAGACCAAATCTCTGCCGTTTCAAGTTCACTTTGGACTCTGAGCTTGTCGATCCCACTGGGAAAGAGTTCTCTGCTGTTTTGTGTTTCCAGCTACCACAATGCTGATTCTGTTCCACTGCTAATTTGTATTGTTTTGCTTTCTTTGTAAAAAGAAAAAAAGAAATGTTTTGCTTTTTACCCTGTGAAAGTTCTTATGCTGTCTATTGCTTGCTTTCTCATTTTCACTGTATTGTACTGTTACTCCTTTCTGCAAAATGGTGCTAATTGCTGACTGAGCTCCTGTTTTCTGACTGCTTTGCACACTGATCCCCTGCTTCTTCATTTGCAACACGTCCGGTGTAAAAACATGGCTCCCATGAATTCCACAAACTCTTGCCTCTTGGAGGCAGATAGGAAGTGTCTAATTAATATTTTGTGGCCTGGGTTTGGTTGCATATCACAAATTGTCTCTTGTAATGTGTTAAGCACACCTCCTCGTGGTGCTTTTTCATTCTTGCTGTTCTAATGAGAATGACACACACACACAAACACACACACACTCAAATTAATGTATAGCCAATTGATTGTGACGTGCTTGTGATCTTTGCTTGCTCAAAGGGGTTTTTTTTCCAATGATAAATAAATGCTAAAGACGAATACCACCTCCTGGATCTTGTTTTCTCGATAAGAAGCACAGTTAAGTGAAAGAAACACCCTTCCAACTGTAATCAGATTTGTGTTGCTTAGAGCCACCACCACTTCCATGCCTGCCATAGGGACAACTGAGCTGTCACAGTCTGACTCCCTTTAGATGGCTGCTGACCTCAGACTAGCCTGATGCGAGAGCTAAGCGTTTGCAAATGTGAAGATGGACAGTGAAGTCATATGGACGGAGCAGGTAGTTTGCTTTTATTTTCTATATATACAGTGTCTTGAGCAGAGGGTCCGTGCGGTGAGTGCCCTGCATGCAGGCTGCTGCTGCGCCTTGCTCGTGTCCTCGTTGCGCTGGATCAGGGAGCAGAATCCGAGCCCCATCGAGAGCTGGAGGGAGGGGAGGTGCTGCGGATGAGGACACTTAATTACACACCCTTTTCCAACTGCCTACGGCTTTTGCTTTGGCCCAAAACCACCCGAAAGGCCCATGAGAAGGGTCAGGGGGCTATACATCCTCATTGAAGGGAGGTGGCAAATGCTTGGCTTGAGCACTTTCAGCGGGCTGCAAGCCTAGCCACCATTGAACAGGCGTTTGGCAGTGTCTGTGGAAGTGCAAAGCACTGATTTTATATTTATGAAAGTGTTGGCTATCTGGAGAAAGTGATGGCTGAGGAGAAAGCAGGGCTAAGAGCACAATTTTATTTTAAATGGTGAACCTTAATCTTAGTTTCATCTCTTTTTTTTCTTTAATTAGCCAGTAAGCTCCTACCTGCAATTTTTAATCATGTTTTCTCTTTTAGTGGATATTCCAATAACATCCCCACCAACCTGGGGAAAATTGTCTGCGTTGAAGTTACATTTTTAAATCCGTCCTCCAACACAGCTCTGCTGACTTCAATGGATCACCAGCCCTTTTCTGCCTTACCATTTCTGGGTGCTATTTCTCACCCCTGCCTGATTTACAAATCACCTTCTGAATTTATTCCATCTGTGACTACATGCTGATAGCAGTGCTGCTCTCTAATGTTCTGCCATATCACCCTGCCTTCCCTCTCCCTTCCCCACCAGCTTCAGCCATTCATCAGTCACGCGTAACTGTATGATCTTTAAAGTGTTTCAGCTGAGCTGTAGGTCTGGGGGTTTATC